GAATGAGAAGAGTACTGCGAAAACGTATAACAATGATAACACCAAGCATGCGAATCGTGCTAGCATCAAGAGTAATTATACTAAACAAAATACTGCTTAAAATCTTACGCAGAGTAACGACAATAATGCGAATGATAATAGGACTAGGAATGCCACCATTATTAATTCCCATCCATCCTGAGGGGTTGGGTCCTCGTTGAGAGACAGCGCCCCGTGTCTCCTTCTTCCTCCTCTTCCTCCTCCTCCCTCCCCCTCCTCGCATCCCTTGCCCCTGCCCTCCGCATGTTCTCATGATCGTCGTCATCATCACCATCATCATCATCATCATCATCATCATCATCATCATCATCATCATCATCATCATCATCATCATCATCATCATCATCGTCATCGTCATCGCCATCGCCATCGCCATCGCCATTGCCATTGCCATTGCCATTGCCATCGTCATCGTCATCGTCATCGTCATCGCCGCCATAGTCACCATCATCGTCACACCCAGTACAGCGCTTCGTGGCCCCATAGGGAGCTCCACCGAAGGTCCAAGCGGCGCAGCCCGCACGCGTCTCCCACACCCAGTACAGCGCTTCGTGGCCCCGTAGGGAGCTCCACCGAAGGTCCCCGTAGCGCAGTTCGCATGCGTCTCCCCCACCCAGTATAGCGTTTGGTGGCCCCATAGGGAGCTCCACCGATAAGGAGCTCCACCGAAGGTCCCAGTGGCGCAGCTCGCATGCGTCTCCCCCATTCAGCACAGCGTTTCGTGGCCTCATAGGGAGCTCCACCGAAGGTCCCAGTGGCGCAGTTCGCATGCGGCTCCCCCATTCAGTACAGCGTTTCGTGGCCCCATAGGGAGCTCCACCGAAGGTCCCAGTGGCGCAGTTCGCATGCGTCTCCCCCAATCAGTACAGCGCTTCGTGGCCCCGTAATGAGCGCCACCGAAGGTCCCAGTGGCGCAGTTCGCATGCGTCTCCTCCGCCCAGTACAGCGTTCCGTGGCCCCATAGGGAGCTCCACCGAAGGTCCCAGTGGCGCAGCCCGCATGCGTCTCCGACACCCAGTACAGCGCTTCGTGGCCCCATGGGGAGCTCCAACGAGGGTCCCAGGGCCGTCACACCCATTTCGGCACTCCCTGACACGCTGCGTGGGCTCCACCGAAGGCCCCAGTGGCGGCGTTCCGAAGGTGTGGTTAGTTCTATGCGTTCGTTTTTGAAGGCTGCGATGTGTAACCCAGCACCTGCGCCTCGCCGACACTGTTCCAGGGGCGCTCGAAGCATCGTCTGGAGTTCTCGCTGGATGCCCGAGCTACTGGCGTTATTGCCCGAAAGTTGTCGAGGGCGTTTCAGGCCCGCCGATGGCCTCGGGGGGCTTCGGGGATGCGTGCGGAGACTTGCGGACACCTTCGTCGGAGGCCGTCGGAGTTCTGAGGAGGACGAACGGAGTGGGCCCATAGGGAGCGCCACCGAATATACATACAACGGCGCACCGGTCCTGGGAGCCGAGGGCCGGAACTTCGACCGCAAATGTAGGCACCGGGGCCCGGGCCCGCCTTTGGGAGGCGTGAAATCGCCTGGGGAGCCCTCAGACAGCAATCCCGGCGGCCCCAGGCGGTCTCGAGACACCTCCAAGACGCCGTCCACGGGTCTCTTGCGACGCACGATGCGTTTTAAATTGCCCCAGAGGCCCCCAAGACGGCCCAAGACGCTTTTAAGATGCCGCCCAAGAGCGCCGCGAGAGGGCAAAATCGTTTTTTTTGTTTTTGTTATATACGGCCCAAGAGGCCCCCAAGAAGGCCCCAAGACGGCCCAAGTGAGCCCCGAGACGGCCCCAGAGCCGCTCAAGAGGGTCCCAAGATGGCCCCAAGAGGGGCCTAAGGGAGGGAACGCGAACTGGAAAATCAAGCTCTCCGCTTCAAGATGCCCCCAAGAGGCCTCAGAGGCCCCCAGGAAGCCCCCAAGAGACCCCAGGCCCCCAAGAGGCCCCAAGAGGCCCCCAAAAAGCCCAAAGGAGGCTCCAAGAGGCCCCAAGACGGCACCCAAAAGGCTTCAAAATTCTTCTTAGGCGGCCCCACAAGACATGCCAAGAAGGTTCCATGACGACTTCAAGAAGCAGTCCAGGATGCTCCGAGAAGGCCCCAAGAAGCCAGCTAGAACTCCAGCGCGCGCGCGCGCGCGCTTCGCGCGCGATGTTTCTAGTGAGGTCTGTACAGTTGCGGTACTCACAAGTGCACATGGTTGGTTCCTTCGCCAGGATAACCCTTCTAGTACCGATGTGACCACCCTACGGGTGATAGGGAGGCGGTCGATTTGCGATGGCTCTGGGTTCTTTGGTGGCTTCTTCGTTTTCCCAACCATCCTGTGGTGTTGAGTCCTCGTTTTGAAGAGACAGCGCCCCGCGTCACTCCTCCCGCTGCCCCCTCCCCCCTCATCCACCTCCTTGCCTCTGCTCTGCGCATGTCCATCATTTCGGGACGCCCCTCGCACGTTTTCGTGGCCCTATAGGGAGCTCCACCGAAGGTCCCCGTGGCGCAGTTCGCATGCGTCAACGCCACCCAGGACAGCGTTTCGTGGCCCTACAGGGAGCTCCACCGAAGGCTCCAGTGGCAGGGTCTGCATGCGGCCCCGCCACCCAGGACATCGCTTCGTGGCCTCATAGCGAGCTCCACCGAAGGCTCCAGTGGCAGGGTCCGCATGCGGGAACGCCACCCATTTCGGCACACCCCTCGCATGGTTCGAGGCCCCACAGGGAGCTCCACCGAAGGCTCCAGTGGCAGGGTCCGCATGAGGGAGCGCCACCCAGGGTGGCCCCATAGGGAGCTCCACCCAAGGCCTTCAGTGGCAGGGTCCGCATGCGGAACCCCGCCCATTTCGGCACACCCCTCACACGGTTCGTGGCCCCACATGGAGCTCCACCGAAGGCTCCAGTGGCAGGGTCCGCATGTGGGAACGCCACCCAGGACATCGTTTCGTGGCCCCACAGGGAGCTCCACCGAAGGCTCCAGTGGCAGGGTCCGCATGCGGGAACGCCACCCATTTCGGCACACCCCTCACACGGTTCGTGGCCCCACAGGGAGCTCCACCGAAGGTTCCAGAGGCAGGTTCCGCATGCGGAAAAGCCACCCAGGACAGCATTTCGTGGCCCTATAAGGGGGCTCCACCGAAGGTTTCAATGGCAGGGTCCGCATGCGTCAACGCCACCCAGGATGGCGTTTCGTGCCCTCATAGGGAGCTCCACCGAAGGCTCTAGTGGCTGGGTCCGCATGCGTCAGCGCCACCCAGGACAGCGTTTCGTTGTCCCATAGGAAGATCCACCGAAGGCTCCAGTGGCAGGGTCCGCATGCGTCAACGCCGTCCAGGGCAGCGCTTCGTGGCTTCATAGGGAGCTCCACCGAAGGCCCTAGTGGCCCACCGGAGGCGCCAGTGACACCGTTCGCATGCGTCTCCCCCACCCGGGCGAGCGTTTCGTGGCCCCCATAGGGAGCTCCACCCAATGCGTCAGTGGCGCAGTTCGCATGCGTCTCCCCCGCCCAGGACAGCGCTTCGGGGCCCCATAGGGAGCCCCACCGATGATCCCAGTGGCACCGTTCGCATGCGTCTCCCCCACCCAGGACAGCGTTTCGTGGCCCCATACGGAGCTCCACCGATGGTCCCAGTGGCGGCGTTCGCATGCGTCTCCCCCACCCAGGACAGCGTTTCGTGGCCCCATAAGGGGGCTTTACCGAAACTGGTACCCACAATGTGGTATTCGCAACTGCATATGGTTGGGTCCTTCGCGAGGCTATTTTCCATTGTTTCGCACACCTGCCCATCTATCTATCGACATGTCTATCTAGTTATCTGTTTCGGACAACCATTTATCTCTATCTCTATCTCTATCTATATGTGTATTTATATATCTATATCAGTCTATCAGTCTACCATTCAATGGAACATATGAATGCATCTAACTATCTCTCTATCTAGCTGACTTATCTGTCTATCTCTCTACATAGCTATACATGTCTCTCTCTCTATATGTCGGTATACACATATTGATTTCTCTATCACTCTATCTATCTATTTCCAATCGATATTTATATATAGGTGTATATATGTATATCCCTATATCTACTTGTATCTCTCTCTATCTCTCTCTATACCTATACCCATCTATCTCTAAACCAACCATCGGGACAACCATCGGGACAACCATCGGGACAACATCTAGCAACATCTATCTATCTATCTATCTATCCATCTATCGGGACAATCATCTGGAACACCATCGGGACAACCATCGGGACAACCATCGGGACAACCACCTGGACAACATCTAACAACATCTCTCTATCTATCTATCTATCTATCTGTCTATCTATGTATCAACCATCCGGACAACCATCGGGACAACCGCTTGGACAACCATCGGGGCGACCTTCGGGACAACCATCGGGACAACCATCGGGACAACCATCGGGACAACCACAACCATCGGGACAACCGCCGGGACAACCGCTGGGACAACCGGGGGCCACGCCTGGCGCTCGGGGGGTTGGCCTTCCGCGCAGCTTCGTGCAGCTTCGCGCACCTTCGCCTTCCCCGTACGTACGACACGAACGGAAACCGAAACCGAATTCCCGGTTGGGGTCACTTCCGTTCCAACACCCGATCTTTCGATCAATAGTTACAATTATAATAAGAGTAATGCTACCAAGAAGGTTCGTAAGCACATTACGGCGAATAGTATTGTAATCATTAACAATCGTAATATGACGAATCAGAGTATTATTACTCAGGACCATCAGACTAATCATTCGGCGCATAATAACAAGACGAAGACGAATAGTCAGACCACTCAGAATAATAAGACGAAATATAATAATACGAGGACTGATGATACAAATATGAGGCGGAGGAAGAGGAGGAGGTGGAGGAGGAGGAGGAGGAGGAGGAGTAGGAGAGAGGAGTGAATGAAGGAGGAGGGAATGTAGGGAGGATGGAGGAGGAGGTCCCCCCGCTGGCGGAGGCCCGGCAAGAGAGGGGCTACGTCTTGCCGGGCCACGGCCCTGGGCTCCCAGCAGCGGCGACGGCCCCAGCGGCGGCGCCGGCCCAAGTGGCGTCCCCAGCAGCGGCGGCGCCAACGGCGGCAGCAGCTGCGCTGGCGACAGCGCCAGCGCCAGCTTCAGCGCCGAGCCCAGCGCTGGCGCCAGCGGCGACGCCAGCAGCAACGCCAGTGCAGCTCCAGCCCTGCGGGCGGGCGAGGGGCACCGTGTCGTCGTCTTCGTCGCCGTATGTTGTCGTCTTGCCAAGCAGATCGTTTAGCCGGCCACAATCGATCTTCGAGTGCCCCACGTCTTCGTCACGCGAGCATTGAGCAAGCACGGCAGGAGACCACTCGCAGTCGGATCGAGAAGGGGGGGCAATGTACAGCTCTTTCTGCTGTTTGTCGAGGGCGCCCCACCAAGTGGTCGGGGACGCTGGACTGGCTTGTGTCTCAATGCCCAGGTAGGCCGCATCATATGTGAACAAAACTGATGATTTGGATATGTGCTTGTGAACTTTGGTGATGTTGTAAGTGTGGGGCTTTCGGCAGTGTGAGAATAGGCTTCCCCCCCCCAAAGACTCGTGCAAGAAGGTGTCCCTTAGCTAATGAATGGCTGTCTCCCCCAAAATGTGAAGGCATCGCTGCATGAGTCAGGCAAGGGGCAGGGAACAGAGGGGTAGGTTTCGCGCGCCGTCCCTCTGTGTCGTGCTCGGATTTTGGAGCTTGGAGTGCGCGCCAGGAAGAGGTGGAGGAGAAGGAGGAGGAGGAGGAGGAGGAGGAGGAGGAGGAGGAGGAGGAGGGGGGAAGAGGAGGAGGAGGAGGAGGAGGAGGAGGAGGAGGGGGGGGAAGAGGAGGAGGAGGAGGGGGGGGAGGGGAGGAGAGAGAGGAGGAGGAGGAGGAGGAGGAAGGAGGAGGAGGAGGCGAGGAGGTGGAGGAGTGAGGAGGGGGAGGAGGAGGAGGAGGGAGGAGGGAGGGGAGGCCCCCCCCCCCGCTGGAGGAGAGAGGAGGAGGAGGAGGAGGAGGAGGAGGAGGAAAGGAGACGGGAAAGGAGACGATGATGGGATGATGATGATGATGATGATGATGATGATGATGATGATGATGATGATGATGATGATGATGATGATGATGATGATGATGATGATGATGATGATGATGATGATGATGATGATGATGATGATGATGATGATGATGATGATGATGATGATGATGATGATGAGGAGGAGGAGGAGGAGGAGGAGGAGGAGGAGGAGGAGGAGGAGGAGGAGGAGGAGGAGGAGGAGGAGGAGGAGGAGGAGGAGGAGGAGGAGAGGCAACTCCTTTAGTAGCTTCACGCCCGCCGTTTTCTTTCCCTCCTTCCTTGCCTCCCTACGTTGTTTCTCCCCTCCTTCTTCGACTCTCTCTCCCTCCATCATGTTCCTCTCCTCTTTCTTCTTTCTACCGTCCTGGCCCCAAAGTCAATAAAGCATTGGGGAGAGCGGGGGTCATCAAATGGTGCGGGAACAAATCCTCAGGAGAATTCCGCGTTTTCGTCGTCGTCGTCGTCACGCTGCTGCTCCTGTTTCTCCTCCTTCTGCTTGTCCTTCCCATGTTCGTGCTCCTGCTCTTCCTGATGCTGCTTATTCTCCTCCACTTCCGCCTCTGCCACTTTCCTTTCCTCCCGCTAGGAAGCAACTGGCTGATGTAGCAGTGTGAGTTGTGCAGTGATGGGCGTATCCGCTTGACTGTTGGTGCATAGGTCTGCGCACCCTTTTGACATGGTGACGACCGTTCGTCTTCGTAACAGAAGGCTTCCAGGACACCGTGATGATGCGAAAATAACGCTCAATCATGCACGCGATCGGCTTTGCACTGGTGGCATTCAGTGGGTTCGCAGTGTCGTAATGTTGTTGACAATGTCATGGTCTCATGATCAGGTCAACGATCCCCACCATGTTTTGAACGATATGATTTCTGGCACCTCCGCCGGGCATTGGGTCATGCGGACCAGTGGAGGCTGCTTCTGAATAGCATGGCCATGCCAGTGGCAGCAGCTTCACCACCACAGGTTGAATTGGCTCCTCAGCAGAGAAAGGTCATGGATATTTTCTTGCTCTTTCTTGGGAGCGTGGTCTGACTCTTCACCAGGGCAGGCTTCTTTGTGTCGTCACATGCCGCTTGTTCAATGGTTATGCCGGTTGTGCTTCATCTCTGGCTGCCACGCTTGGATCGTTTTCTGGTGTGCATTGTATTCATCATCGCGTGTGCTCATGTGCTGGCCGATGCAAGCTCAATGTGTTTCCCAAGCGGCGCGTGCACCCGGAGGGCATTCTCGGGCTATAGAATCGAGGGTGGACAGAACCCCCACCCTGACACGCCGATGAGAGAATTGTCCGTTTTCGGCCCTCGAGAGGGCGCCGCGGCCGTCATTTTCCAGGCCTGCGCCGGCCAGGTCTGGGCCCGGGGTCGTCTTCACTCAACCACGTTTTCCTAAAAGGGGGCTCTGTTCATCCCCGGTAGAAAGCTGCATCTGCGTTGCGCTCCAACCCCCAGCCCCCAAATGTCCTTGCCGCCGCAAGCTGCGCCGAGTCCCGCGCCTCTGCGTTGCGCCTCGAAGGCGCGTCGCTGCGCGGGGTGCCCCAGAGCCTGCCTCCTCCCCCTCCCCCCTCCTTCCCCTCCTCCTCCTCCTCCTTCTCCTCCTCCTTCTCTCCTCCTCCTCCTCCTCCTCCTCCTCTCCTCCCCTCCTCTCCTCCTCCTCCTCCTCCTCCTCCCCTCCCCTCCCCCTCCTCCTCCTCCTCCTCCTCCCCCTCCCCCTCCTCCTCCTTCTCCTCCCCTCCTCCTCCTCCACCTCCTCCTCCTCTTCCTCCTCTTTCTCCTCCTCCTCCTCCTCCTCTTCCTCCTCCTCCACATCCTCCTCCTCCTCCTCCTCCTCCTCCTCCTCCCCCCCCTCCTCCTCCTCGTCCCCGTGCCTTCTGCGCTGCGCCCGCCACAGAAAAGCCCCTCCGTCCCTTCAGCCCTGCCTGGCCCTCGTACCCGCCTTGCGTGGCGCTCCCCGCCCGAGGCTCGTCGCTGCCACCGGCCCCGCCCAGCCCCGCGCCCCAGCATGTAGCCTTCCATCGAAGAAGAAAAACGCAAATCCAATGTATTATGCGCGTGCCCACAATCATGGAGACTGCTGCCATTACTGTTTTTGCCCGTGCGCCATGTGATAAATGCAGCGTTGGCAGCGCTGTTGAGCGGTCGGAACTAATGATTGCAGGGTGGATGGGACCTTATGATGGAGCAATCATTGATGTACATTGCTCTTTTCGATACATACACACATATATGTATATATATATATATATATATATATATGTGTGTGTATACCTATATATATATATATATATAGATATGCATCTCTCTCTCTCTCTCTCACGTCATCGTCTTCTCGAGCTTCCACGCTCCAAGACAACGCCCGATGCGCCCAAGACGGTTCCAAGACGGCACACGGGGCCCTCAAAAATGTCCCAAGACAGCCAAGACGGCCCCAGAGCGGCCAAAGAGGCGTTCAAGACGGCCCAGGAGAGCCGCAATACGGCCCCAAGGGGGGCCCGAGAGAGAGGAACGCGAACCTAATTCGAGCGTTCCGCCCCAGGACGCTGCGCCCGGGAGGTGCCATGACTCCCCCAGGAGGCCACGTGAGACCCCCGCGAGGCCCCCAAGAGGCTCCACGAAGCCCCCTGGAGGCCCACAGGACGCCCCAAGAGCCCCCCAAACAGCTATCGGGAGGCTTCAAGACTGCCGCCAAGAAGCTCTCGACAGGCCTCTGTCGATATTCCTACGGACATGTACGAGGCTTCTAATAGCATGGTGGCGGGATGTGCTGTAGGCCACTAGACAATAATGGTGCTCTTGGGCCCTTCTTGGGCCTCTCTGGATAGGCCTCATGGGGACTTCTTGGGACGTCTTCGAGGTCTGTTGGGCCGTCTCGGGGCCGTCTGGGCGTCTTTGAGCGACCTTTGGGCGTCTCGGGACCCTCTTAGAGCGTCTTTGGCCTCTCTTGGCGCTTACTGGCATCGTTTCTACGCCTCAGGAGCCCCTCAGCGCCCCAGCACCCACATGCACAATATACGTACACATACATTATAAGTGGGGAGGGGGTCCCAGGGGCCCCGCAGTGCACTGATTTATCTTCCTGCTGTTTTGGACACGGCTGGGTTACCAGAACGCGTCAAAGGAAGGGGAAGGAGGGCGACGAGAGACGTCCAAGAGGGCGCCAAGCTGGCCCAAGAGCGTTCCAAGAGAGCCCAACACCGCACAATTCCAATCACATTCCAGCACGATAATCAGCGGATAACTTATGAGTACGAAAGATATGAGCAGGCGCGGATGTAAAGAAGGCGTTTTACCAGTAAGAGGACGACTGACGAGCTCCAACACCTATGAACATTAATGGTTGTTGGAGGCGGAGGCTGCGCACATATATATATATATATGTATATATATGCATAATCATACAGGTATGCATACTCATACGCGCATACATGCATGCATGCATGTATACACACATCCATCCATCTAGACATACGCGTTTACATACACACAGCCACACACATATATATACACATTCACACATATATATATATATTTATATATATACACATGCATACACACTTTCACACACACACATGCGTACACACATACATACATACACACATACACACATCCATACATACATACATGCACCCATACAATTATACATGCGCGCATACATGCACACATGCATGCACGACTACTTACATACATATACACATACATGCATGCATACACACATGCATCCACCCATCCATCCATCCATCCATCCATCCATCCATCCATCCATGCGTACATACATACATACATACATACATACATACATACATACATACATACATGCATGCATGCATACATACATACATACATAGTACACAAATACATACGTACATGCATACATACATCTTACATGCATGCACACATCCATATATTCACATACATGCATCCATGCATACACACATACGTGCATCGATATATGCATACACACATGCATACAATCATGCATACACACATACATACGTACATACGTACCTACCTACCTACCTTCCTACCTACCTACCTACATACATACATACACACATCCATCCATCCATACATACGTACACACATACTTCATATATCTATGCATACGTGCGTACATACATTTGCATGCATGCATGCATGCATGCATGCATACATTCATACATACATACATACATACATACATACATACATACATACATCATTCCCTCCACTGTTTGGGGCTTTTCTCTGGTGGTACTGAGGATTCCTCCGGCGTACTTTTTGGAGGGGCTCCAGCCCTGGGGGCGCGTTGCTAGCTTCGTTTGCCGATCTTGGCTTTCGGGGGCGCGAGTCTCAAGTATTTCTTATGTGTCCCAAGGGGGTCCCCAAACGTTCAGAGCCCGCGATTCGGGCGTGGGCGGCCAGGCTCGCTGCCGCGCTCTCCCCGCTCGCGCGGGCAGTGACAGCTGTGAAGGCCCTGCGGCCGGTGCCGCCGACCCCGAAGGAGGACGACGACGACGACGATGACGACGAAGTGAGGGCCCCGCCACAGGCTCGGGACACGGGGAGGGAGGGGGGGGAGCGTGGACAGTAACTGTTCGCTGGGGAGGGGGGGGAGGGAGGGGGGAGGAGGGAGGGGAGGGATGGGAGGGACACGGGAGGGGAGGGACACGGGAGGGAGGGGAGGGGAGGGAGGGGGGGGAGCGTGGACAGTGGGAAGCAGAAAGTAGAGCCAGGGCACTGGAGACTGGAAGCCGGAACCGGAGCAGGTTGCGGGGTGCCTCAGCCCCGCAGCCTGATGGCCCCACAGCGGGGCTGGCAGATGTTATTCTTCTTGTTTTACTTCTTCTTCTTCTTCTTCTTCCCCTTCTTTTTTCCTTCATCATCTTCTTAGGATCCGTAAGGGCTTCGCCCCATGCCGCCGGCCCCCTGTCTCGGATAATGGGAGATGCAAAAGCTAAATCATGAGGTCTGGGCGCCGCCGTGAAGCAGTGTCGGGACCTGTTTGTTTTTCGACCCTGACCCTACGGATCTGCGTCACGGGTACACCGAATACCAGAAATGTGGCAAATCCTTTATGTTTTTGGACCCTGACCCTACGGATCTGCGTGGGGGGTGCCGCCGAATTTCAGAAATGTGGCAAGTCCCTTGTGTTTTTGGACCCTGACCCTGCCGATCTGCGTGAGGGGTGCCACCGAATTTTAGAAATGTGGCAAATCCCGTATGTTTTTGGACCCTGACCCCGCCGATCTGCGTGAGGGGCGACAGCAAATATCAGAAATGTGAAACATCCCGTATGGTTTTGGACCCTGACCCCGCCGATCTGCGTGAGAGGTGCCACCGAATGTCCGAAATGTAGCGCATCCCGTATGTTTTTGGACCCTGACCCCGCCCGCCGATCTGTGTGAGGGGTGCCACCGAATTTGAGAAATGTGGCGCATCCCGTATGTTTTTGGACCCTGACCCCGCCGATCTGCGTGAGGGGGGGAGGCCCTCGCGCGGTTTATCAACAAGGAACAGTAAGCAGCAAGAAGCAGAACTGTAACAAGGAGCAGTAAGCAGCAAGAAGCAGAACTGCAACAGTGGAAACTGGAAGCTGCAACTGGTACAGGAAACTGCGAACCTTAGGCCTACAGCCTGGTGGCCCCACAAAGGGGCCGGCGGGTTTTTCTTCTTCCTCTTTTTCTTCTTCTTCCCCGCGGCGATGCCGCCCAACTCGCTGCCGAGCAGCAGGTATATGTTCCGTGTGCGTGTGCGCATGCGCGTGCGCGCGCGTGTATGTGTCTGCGTGCCCTGACGCAGCGGTCCTTCTTCATTCTGGGCGGCTGCATTCCTCACGGAGGGCATTGGTTGCTGGTGGAATGCCCCGATATTTTTCTCGTCACTGTGATGGGACACCAGTGCCCCAATACTGACCCGCTACTGCCCCAATGTGGCGTACTAATGGCTCACCCTCGCTCTGTCGCTGATGCAGGGATCACTAGTGCGTAATCAGGTGGTCATCGCCGTGCCAGTAGCCAGGTCCAAAGGTTCTGTGAGGGAGGGCCCTTCTGCGATATTTCTTTGGGCCTCTCGTCCTTTTTCCGGGGAGGATCATGTACGCTAGTGATGCGCCCACGCCTGGCGAGGGCGACACTACCATGACAGCGCGGGCGGGGTGGGAAGGCCATCGTGTGCAGATCAGCGAGCCCCTACCAGCCCGTCGCGCTTGAGGTTCAGCGTTCGGTTGCTCCGACGGCCTCTCCCCGCCCGCCCTGCGCTGACCAGATGCGTCGTGCTCCACCGGGCTGCCCGTTCGTTTCGGTCTCGCCTGCTCGGCGCCCGTCGTGCATGCCGACCACGCGACATGGCTTCCCTGCGTGTGCCTGCCTTCTCCCCGGTTCCCGCGGCTGCCCCCTGCGCCGCTCGACCAGCGCTCGCCCCTGGATCCCGGGATCCGGCGGCGCCCTGAGGTGCTCGCCTCAGCGGAGGCGTGGCACGGCCCGCGAGCGTATGTCAGGAGGAAAAGAAACACACAGACACAATTAATCGTCGATCCCCAGGAAAATATGGGAAAATATGGGAAGTGGGGGGGAAGACAGAAACCCAGAAAATATAGGAAAATATGGGGAATCTTTTTATTTGTGTCTATTTATTTGTGCGTCCTGGGGCCCCTTCAGTATGGCACGGCCCGTGGATGCGTCACCGCGGCCCTGGAGGGAGAGAGTGCGAGCGTATGCTTCTGTGCGTTCGCGCGGCATGTGGGCAAGTGTCACGGGTCGGGTGCAGCTGCAAGGGAGGTGACGCGTGCAGGAGAGTTGGGCAGATGCTCGTTCGGCCTGGCGGTGGGCAGGTCTCGAATCGTTTGGTTAACAAGCGTGTGACCAAACCGGCGCAGTTGCAGCAGGAGGCTGAGTCTCAACCGCAGCAGCCGTTCTCGCCGGAGGTGCGGGTGCCAGGAAGTGCAGGGCGAATGTGACATGCCATTGCACGGCAGAGAAGGTAGACGGCGACAAGCAATGAGAGCCGGACTCGCAATACGAGGTGGGACCTCTGCGGACGTTCTCCGAAGGAGGCGGGCAGAGATCCACGAGAGAATGGAGACTGCAGATTTTTTGCTCAGTTCTGGGCCCTGGGGGCAGTCTCAGAAAAGTCTCAGGGATGGGGTCGAGAGCTCCATATGGCCCACGCCGCGAGACAGTGGCGACGTCGGAGGTCCGGTTCCTTCTCTTTTCGCCCTCCCTGTTGTCCTCCTCCCAGAGGAGGGCGAGAAGCAGGAGGAGGAGGAGGAAGAGGATGAGCGTCAAACGACAATGCAGCCACCAGGTATCAGGAGGATGCGGAGGATGCGGAGGATGCGGAGGAGGAGGATGAGGAGGAGCAGGAGGAGGAGGAGGGTGAGGCGGAGGAGGAGGAAGAGTAGGGTGAGGAGGAGGATGAGGCGGAGGAGGAGGAGGAAGAGTAGGGTAAAGAGGAATAGGAGGGGGAGGGGGAGGAGGAGGAGGAGGAGGAGAAGGAGGAGGAGGAGGAGGATGAGGGAGGCTTCGTCAGTCGACAATGCAGCCATCAAGTGTCAGGTGTCAGGAGGAGGAGGAAGAGGAGGAGGAGGACGAGGATGAGGAGGAAGAGGAGGAGGAGGAGGAGGACCAGTGCATACCCAAGACTCATCAACGATTTTGCAATCTACCCTCCTTCCAGGTTCCCTCTTGATGGGCTCCTGCACGGATCCATTTTCATTGAAGGAAATGCCCCGTTGGAAGTTAACCGTTTGAAAATCCGGAATTGTGCCAGGACGCCATATCTTGGGTTTCAATGCCGCGAATCACCAGTATTGTTGCGTCTTGACGATCCTTAACCGTGCCAGAACATCATTCATCGGGACTTTCACACGCGAATCAACCTGACTGCTGCGCCCTGACATTCCGGCAGAGTGCCTACACAATATTTCTGGGACGTTGACCATGAGGATTTTTGAAATTGCTGCAAACTCTTGAGACGAATGTGCGCGGCGCTACGGCGGGAACAACATGTTGAACATAGACCGCCCTCTATCCGTGAAGCTCTTGCAACCTCTTGCGACGAGTGTGCGCGGCGTCAAGGCGAGAGCCGCATCTTGAAAATGAGCCGCCCTCCATCCGCGACACTCTTGCAAGCTTTTGAGACGAATGTGCGCGGCGCTGAGGCGAGAGTCACCACCCACCAAACCACCCCAACCCAACCCGAAGGCTCAGATTTACCCTCGATTTCTAGTGGGGGGGGGGTCCGGGAACATCGAAAAAACACATATGGAGCCCATACCCCCCCCAACCCGAAATTCGGTTCTTCGGGTTGGGTTGGGGTGGTCTGGTAGGTAGTCAGAGAGCCACATTTTTGAAAAGGAGCCGCCCTCCATCCGTGAAGCTCTTGCAAGCTTTTGAGACGAAGGCGCGCGCGGCGTCGAGGCGAGCGAGCCGCATTTTGAAATCGGGCCGCCTGCCGTCCGTGTGAGGCTCTTTGCACATGTTGAAGACGAATGGGCGCAGCGCTAAAGGCGAGAGCCACACTTTGGAAGCGGGCCGCCCTCCATCCGTGAGGCTCTCTGCACATTTGGAAGACGAAGGTGCGCAGGGCTAAAGGCGAGGGCCACATTTTGGAAGCGGGCCGCCCTCCATCCGTGAAGCCCTTTGCACATTTGGAAGACGAACGTGCGCAGCGCGAAGGCGAGAGCCACCTTTTGGAAGCGGGCCGCCCTCCATCCGTGAAGCTCTCTGCACATCTGGAAGACGAACGCGCGCGGCGTTAAGGCGAGAGCCACCTTTTGGAAGCGGGCCGCCCTCCATCCGTGAAGCTCTCTGCACATTTGGAAGACGAATGGGCGCAGCGCGAAGGCGAGAGCCACATTTTGAAAATGGACCGCCCTCCATCCAGCAAGCTCTTTGCAATTTTCAAGCTCCAGGATAGTAAATGGTGGGGAAGTCCCAGGCGAAACGCTCTGTTCACTTTCTCGACCGGCCTCGGGGTGCGACAGGGCGGAATTAGCTATGTGGAAGAGAAAGGGGGAAGGAGGAGGAGGCTGAGGATGAGGATGTGGATGATGATGATTGTGATGATGATGATGCTGATGATGATGATACTGAATGATGATGGTGATGCTGATGATGATGATGATGATGAAGCTGCTCATGATGGTGGTGGTGGTGATGATGCTGATGCTGATGCTGATGATGCTGCTGATGACGAGGATGCTGATCAAGATGCTGCTGCTGCTGATGATGATGAGCATGCTGATGCTGATGATGACGATGATGATGATGATGATGATGATGATGATGGGGATGCTAATGATGATGATGATGATGAGGATGATGATGCTGATAATGACGATGATGACGTTGATGATGCTGATGCTGATGATTATGATGCTGATGATGATGGTGGTGGTGATGATGATGATGTTGATGATGTTGATGCTGCTGCTTCTAATGATGATGACGATGATGCTGCTGATGATGTTGTTGATGATGATGCTGAGTACGATGTTGCTGCTGCTGATGATAATGATGGTGATGATGCTGCTGCTGATGCTGATCATAATGATGATGATGATGATGCTGATGACGATGATAACGATGATGCTGATGATGCTGATGATGATGCTGCTGATGATGATGACGATGATGACCATGATGCTGATGATGCTGATGATGCTGATGCTGATGCTGATGCTGACGATGATGATGATGATGACGATGATGATGATGATGCTGCTGCTGATGATGCTGCTGATGATGATGATGATGATGATGCTGATGCTGATGATGATGATGCTGCTGCGGCTGATGATGCTGATGCTGATGACGATGCTGATGCTGCTGATGAGGATGATGATGATGATGATGATGGTCATGATGATGATGATGGTGATGATGATGCTGATGATGATGATGATGATGCTGATGATGATGCTGCTGCTGATGATGATGCTGATGATGCTGATGATGATGCTGCTGCTGCTGATGATGCTGCCGATGATGATGATGATGTTGAGGATGATGATGATGATGAGGCTGATGATGATGATGATGCTGCGGATGATGATGTTGATGATGATGATGATGAGGACGGCTGATGAGGATGATGATGATGATGATGATGCTCCTGCTGATTATGATGATGATGATGATGATGATGATGATGGTAGCATGGATGATGCTGGATGATGATGATGATGATGCTGATGATGATGATTGATGATGATGATGATGATGATGCTGATGATGATGATGATGATGGGATGATGATGTGATGCTGATGAGGATGATGATGCTGATGATGATGAGATGATTGATGATGATGATGATGATGATGATGATGATGATGATGGATGCCGATGCTGATGATGATGATGCTGACTGCTGATGCTGATGCTGATGCTGATGAGATGATGATGATGATGATGATGATGATGATGATGCTGATGCTGATGCGTGCTGCTGATATGATGCTGAGGATGATGATGATGATGATGATGATGCTTGATGATGTGATGATTCTGATGATGATGATGATGATGAGAGGATGATGATGATGATTATGATGATGTGAATGATGATGATGATGATGATGATGATGATGCTGAGAGGCGGAGTGGAAGGAGGAGGAGGAGGAAGAGGAGGAGGAGGAGGATGAGGAAGCGGAGACGGCGGATGAGGCGAAGCAGGATGAGGTGGAGGAGAGGAGGCGGAGGAGGAGGAGGAGGAGGAGGAGGAGGAGGAGGAGGAGGAGGAAGGAGGAGCAGGATGAGGAGGAGGAGGAGCGAGGATGATGAGGAGGAGGAGGAGGAGGAGAAGGAGAGAAAGAGCAGAGAGGAGGAGGAGGAGGAGGCGGGAGGCGGGAGGAGGAGAGGAGGAGGAGGAGGAGGAGGAGGAGGAGGAGCGAGGAGGAGGAGGAGGAGGAGGAGGCGGACAAGGAGCACGGGGAGGAGGAGGAGGAGGGGAGGAGGAGGAGGGGAGGAGGAGGAGGAGGCGGAGGCGGCGGAGGTGGCGGAAGAGAGGAGGAGGAGGAGGCGGAGGCGGGGCAGAGGTAGAGGCGGAGGAGGAGGCGGAGGCGTAAGAGTAGGAGGAGGGGGAGGAGGAGGAGGAGGAGGAGGAGGCGGAGGACGAGGAGGAGGCCTCTGAGACGATATACTTCCTTCGGGGTGGAATGTCCTCAGGTGGCTGGACATTAGAGGAGCAACCACCATAATTAGGTCTTCGAGCCCTTGCGCGCGTCGCTTGGCGCCCTCCTAGAACGAGTGTGGGGAGGAGGCGGACGAGGATGAGGAGGAGGAGGAGGAGCAGGAGCAGGAGGAGGAGGAGGAGCAGGAGGAGGAGAAGGAGGAGGAGGATGAGGATGAGGATGAGGAGGAGGAGGGGGGGAGAGGGATGGGGAGGCGGAGGCGGAGGCGGAGGCTGCGGGGGCGGAGGCGG